ATATATATATATATATATTTTTTTTTTTTTTTCAGTATCTTATAACACAATTGCCAAATGCCCAGGTTTCAACTGAAAATCACTCATCATACCAAGAACCAGGGAAATCTAACTTGAGTGAGAAAGGGCACTCAACAGACCCCAACACTGAGGTGACAGAGATGTTAAAATGATCTGACAAGCTACTATAAAAAATGCGTCAACAAACTAGCAACATGTTCAAAACAAATGAAAAAGTAGGAACTCTGCAAAGAAGTGAAAGATATAAAGAAAACCCATATGGATAATTTAGGACTGAAAAGTAAAAACTTCAGTGGTTGGACTAACAGCAAAATGGAAAGGACACAGGAAAAAATTAGTTAACTTGAAGATAGAACAATAGAAATTACCCCATCTGGAAAACAGAAAAAAGTAGACTGGGGAAAAATGAACACAACCTCAGGGACCTGTGAGACAATTAGAAAAGATCTAACATTTGTGTGCTTAGGGTCCTGAAAGGAGAGGAGAAAAAGTGATAGGAATAGATATATACAAAGCAGTAAATCTATGACTAATCATCAGATTTTTATTTGTTCTGTACTGAGGATGAAACCCAGGGGCAATTTACCAGAGTTACATCTGCAGTTCTTTTTATTTTTTCCTTTGAGATCGGGTCTTACTAATTTGCCAACACTGACCTTGAATTTGTGATTCTAAGGCGACTTGTCATCAAAACTGGATGCTAGAAGAAAGTGGAGCAATGCCTTCAAAATTACATGGGAAAATGATACTGAATTTTATAGTTAAGAGTGAGGATGGAATAAAGGTATTTCTATATATGCAAAAACTCAAGAATATGACTTTCTATACAGCTTTTCTGAGAAAGTTACTTAAGGATGTGCTTCATCAAATTGATGGGAAAAATAAACAAAACAAAAACCCTGGGAATTAGTAAATAATGGATATAATCATGGAAAGCAGTGAAGGGAAATCCAAAAATGATAAGCTATGAATTAGGCCTTAGAAAATAACTTCCAGATTTGAAAAGGGAATGAAGGACTCTAAGAAGAAGGTCTTCTAGGAGACATAAAGTAGAATTGGTGTAATTCAGAGTGAGTGTTTATGGAAATTTTGAAAGGAAAAAAATGGAATATAAATCAAATAAAATAGTAAAATAAGAAAAGTTAGAAACTTCAGAAAAGAAAAATTGTTGTAAGAAAAAATCATAAAACTTCTTGGCCCTAAAAGGAGCCAGGTATGGTGGTATGCACCTGTAATCCCAGTGACTGGAAAGGCTGGCGCAGGAAGATTGCAAGTTCAAGTCTAGACTGGGCCACTGAGACCCTGTCTCAAGATTTTAAAACAAAGTAAAAATATTTATAGTCATATTGATATTAATAGCTATTTATTGCTTTTCAACTTTTAGAATCAAATAATAGTAAAAATACCAAAACCAAACCAAACCTCTCAGTCATGTTTACAGAATTCAATGTTGTCAGCTTTGACAATATAAAAAGCTAGATGACAGAAGTTGGGAGGTTAACAGTGGGAATGAGGGCTAAAAGAAAAGTCTATTTTCTCATCTAGCAAAGAACTAAACAAGAAATATTGTCCCTAGTTCATGGAACAAAATACAAAGGTATTAAATAAATTCCAAAAGTTAACTATTAAACTTAACTATATTAGAAGCAGAAAGAGAGTTGAATTTGGTATAAATGATCTAAATTCTTATCTGTCACAGAGGATATCAGTATGTAATGTCTAAAGCTGATAATTTTAAAAATGCCCACATATTATTTAGATATGAAGATAACAATGGGAAGAAATAACTGAAAGTGGGTGCTGAAAGTTAAGAGTGGGAGTGGGAATGTGTGGGGCAGTGCAAACTCTTGCTTTTTATAAGTCCTTCCATATGATTTTTGTGATTTGATTTTACTATAACATGCATGTATTACTTCTATTTTAAAATAATATTTTTTAAATAAAATGAACTTTAAGGAAAAAAATAGTTTTAAAAAGCAAAAAACAAAACAAAAATCATCCAAAAATCAAAGCAACACTCTTATCCATGACTCCCCTCCCCACCAAATTTCCTTGTCATTCCAGAACTATTGCAGCAGAATATAATATAGTTTGGGAAACCCCGCAGTTTCTCTTCTGCCTCTCCCTTAAAAGCAGCCCCTGCTCCAAACTGGAATGTTAGCCCAAACATGGCATATCTACTCTCATCTCCTTACATCTCATCTCACAGGCCTGGAAAGTCTTTCCAGATCTCCACCAGTTGGGATCCTCCCTATTCTTTAAAGCTTAACTGAACAATTCCGCCTCTTCCTAAATGTTTTTAGAGTCCCCTCATAGAACACCTCTCCCTCCTCAAGGGCTTCCATAAGTACTCATTCATGCCTCCAATTATAAATGACATTTACATACACTTTGCATATATTATAAATCTACGATTATATACATTATTTAGGTCAATATTTCATGCCCCCAATCTTTTCACTACCAGTCTGAGATTTCTAATACTAATCTGTCATTCCCCTGCTACAAACCCTACTACAGCTTCCCATTGTTCATGGGATCAAAGATAAACTTCATTACCTGACTTCCAGCACTTCTTCCACTGCAATGGGTAATACTCTAAATCTATCCATACTACTTTGCTTAGGCAACTCTTCTGCTTGGATTATTCTTTCCTTTTCCCACATGGTAAACACCCAATTTTTCTTTTAAGACTTAGTTCCAGTACCCCTTCCTCTATAAAAGCTTTCCTAATTCCTCCAACCTGCCCCACTCCAGGAAGAACCATCCAATATTTCCTATATGCTCACTTTGCCTCAACCAGACTTCTGTTTTATCACCTACCACACTTAGTGCACTTACCTGATTATTTATGAGTCCCCAATTAAACTGAAAATTCCCAGAAGGGTAATTCCCAAGAACCTAGTACAGGGCCTGGCATGCAGCAGGAATTCAAAATATATTTGTAGAATAAATGGATGGAAAAATGATGTGAGTGAATACAGCAAAGAACAAATGAATGAATAAATGCTCATATATCATGATGCATGAATACACAAGTGAACAAGGTATGAGTTAGTGCATAAATAATGAATGAACAAATGATAAGTAGATGCATGAGAAAAATTAGCCAATAAGTGAATGAAAAATGCATGTGCCAGTAAGGGCATGAGAATGAATTCCTACCTTCACATCTTGCTTCAAACCCACCAGAAAAATTTTAGCCCTGCTCTCCACCCATCTGAACTGCACACCACAGTGTTAACCTCTTTTAGATTGTAAGAAACAAAGACACACTCAAGTTAGTGATTGGGATTTATTAAAGCATTCACAGGGAAATAAGGAAGACAAGAACAGTTAGACAGGCAGCCTTGCTGAAGAACAGAAACTTGAAAATGGTTCATGATCCAAAGCAGCTCTAGAGCCTGGCTTATCTCGTCACCCCCTCAGCTGCAGGCATCTGTTGCTACCTTCTCTAGTGCTTCCCAAAATGGTGACTCAACTACTTTCTGGCTGTATTTATACTCCTCCTACTGCTACTGACTAACTTCTTTCCCTCATTGCTAGCCCATGGCTTCTGCTGCCTCCCAGCTCCTGCAGCTTCAAGGCTCTTGGGGCTTCAGTTCCTATTAATCCATGG